CCCCAAAACCCCAAAACCCCACTAGACTAAATCAAGTACAAGTATTGGTAAATTTTTACTTAAGTGATACAATCTAAGTTTGATTATAAATTAATTTATTATTATTGAATGGAATAGATCCAAACCATGAGTAGTATCCTTCCATCAGGCTACTAGCAACCAATAAACTACAACTGCTACCAGGCATAGTCTTTCTAACAACAAGCTCAGCAACCAATCCAGCAAACCTAAGTTGAAATTGATGCCTTTTGCAATTTTAAAGCTCTTCTATTTGCCTACTAGAACGCATAATCTCCTATTGACTAAAATTCAGTGAGTTTACAGATCATTAATTTCCTTCAAGCAATTCCTAACCAAGTTCAAATTCTTTATCAATCTCTAATGAAAGCAGATAACTCTTAGCTAATCTGCTTGTGTTGCTAACTTCTCACCTAATCCTTCAATACAGTCACCTATTTAGACTTTAACAGATAATGCTAAGATATTTCTACAGATGCAGCAAAGCATGGAGTAAAGGGCTTATTTGAACATCTACTCTAAATTTCGTTTTAAAGTGATAATCTTTAAAACTCAACAAAAGAATTCGATGTTATTCACAGAACTATGGTAAAGTTTGCTATTAACTTTTGGATAGAAAATCAGTGCTTCTAGACCTATATTTAGCAAATTAAAAGTGAATTTTAGAATTTATCTGGCCAGAATTAGACTGATCAAGAAGTAATTAGGAAAAGATAAACTATACTCAAGATTTTTAAGACTTTTCTTGAGGAACTAAAGCTCATAACCGTGTTTGAGAATAGCATTTCTGAATTCCAAAGTGAAGAATTAACTGATTTATCTTAGAGGAATTACTAAACAGTATTACTATTCAAATAGACTTCTCTACCTGATATTTTTTATGTACTCTAGGAGTCATTCAATTAGTCAAGAGTTGTAATGTAATAGAGCGGTGGTTAGATTCTTAATGACAAGGAATTTTTTTAGACCTTCAAGATAATAACAAAGATACTTAGCTACTGCCTTAAATTGATTATTACCCCCATTAGGAAATCTATTAACTAAATTGTAAGTGTATTTTATTAGCTGACTAATGTAGGCAATTAAGATTGAATCATTTGACTAAAGCCAGCAAGTTGTTAAGCTTTTTTGCAATCTAAGCAATATTGTTGAATTATCTGCTCTTGTTATCCAATTAGGCAATTTAAACAAAGATGCTGCTGATAGATTGTTTCACTTAATAAAGTTGATGGTTTTCAGTCTGGATCAAGCCGACTTAGAATAAACAGCAGCTTAATAATTGGTGCAAGCTATTGTTCGAATGCTAGAGTCTGGTGTTATTTAGAGACATGATGTGCTTAAGCTGCTTTCTAGAATTGACATTCATTTACCTTTAATAAAGTTAGACTAGCAATCTGCACTTCAATGGTTGAAATTACTTTGTCATCACACATAGTTTAATAAAGATGATATTCTCAATGCTTATCTCAACAGTATAGAGACTTGGTAAAGTATAATAAGGACTCTAGAAAAAGTGGATACATAGGAGACAGACTTCATTAGACTCTAGCTTTTCACATAGTTCCAAATTGTCTAATAAAATATACTCGATGGTCTTGAAACCAATACAGCCATTTGTAAGTATATGTACAAATTTAATTTTATAGTCTAACTTGATTCTTTGGAGGAAATATTGAATCAGCCTTCTCATCTAAAGATCATTATCAAATCAATTATTGAGATTAACTTATGCTCAGCTAAATTGGTTTTTGATTACTTACAAGCTCAGTTGCAAAGTTTGAAGAATAAATAAAATTAAGGAGTCCTTACTAACTCGTTGATAAACTAACTTTCCTGGACTTATTAAACCTTTGGTATTTTATTGGTAGCAATAGTTGAAAAATTGGACTCTGCCTGCCACCAATAACTTTAAAGTGAGAGAGCTTAAACAGCAATACTTGTTGCAGATTTAATATTGAGAGAGTTCATTTTTTATCAATAACTCGATTTCATTCCATTCCCCTAGTTAACAAATGAAAGAATATCTTCTAGATTTAGACTATCCCTCTAATTTGCTCTAAAGGAGTTTGCTAAATGCTTATTAACCTAAAAGATGAAGTATTAGCTTCAAGGTGAGTTCATTTAAAATCTAGCTCACTATATGAAACTTGATAATCCTAATTTTATCCTTGCTACACTACTTCAGTATTGCCTTACAAGCATAAGCAAGAATGTGGACCTGATAACTATCAAGGATATCGAAGCAAATCATGTTGCCCAACTAAGTTAGGAATACAATCTGAAGATTATTTAGTATTTAACCAGTGCAAAACCTTAATCTAATAGAGAAAATTAGTGCTTAACTATTAGAAATTTCCAAATGGATTAAAGTATAATCATGGATCTCATAAACTATCTGAGCAATCTAATTCTTTAGTAATCTCCTTACCAAGAGTCACCAGATTTAAAAATGTAAAGAGAAACTATCAAATCTATCACTATTATTCTTTGTGAAAGTGATATGCTATTTCAGTCTAATGAGGTAATTTAGAGGATATTTGACAATTTACTTTTAAAATTTACTTAAATAAAGTAAGAAAGATCAAACTTAAAGCCTCAGCATAGGAGTATTGTATTTTATCAATACTTAAAGCTATTAAATTAATTGCAAGGATTTTACTCAGGCATTTTCAGAGCAGGTCAATATAGATTTCTGATGAACAAATTAATTGAGGAGCTGAGAGAATCACTGCTGATAGAAGTTGAAAATGTGGAATAATGGGTGGAAAAGCCTGATAACTTAATCTAGTTTAGTAGAAGAATGCTAAGCTTTCTAAAGGAAACATCCTCTGATAGAGACTCAAGAATACAATAAGATAACTCATTGTGTAAGTATAAAGGTAATAAATTCTTAATATATGATAGATATTCAAAATGTAAACTATTTGAATTTCGGGTATTTGATGGTTCACAAATTGATCAGAGTCTTAGCAATTATTAATCTTGATTCCCCTTAATCAAAAGAACAAGGAATTTCAATTCTGAGAAAATCAATATAAGTAAGAATATATGTGAATATTAAAAATTGAGAAAATTAGACTTACATTAACCTTGGCCAGAACAATTTTCTCCTTGCTAAGGATTTAGAATCCCTCTCACTGCTAAGAGAAAAAATCAGAGAGCTCTCAAAAGTTATATTCGAGGGTCTGATAAAGCTCGTCAATCCTACTTAAATCATGCAATATCCTGAAGTCTTTTAAAAGCTAGTCTATGGCTTTATAAGCTAGTAATTTGAAAGAAATATTTAATCACTTATTGAATTGACTTATGAGAATTAAGGTTTGTCAGCATTTATTATGAAAGTAGTTCAAATTGGGCATATGTCCACTCTCAATAGCATATTTCAGTTCTCAAACATTTGTGTAAGTGTATAATAGATTGATGTAATTATAGTTAGAACAACTTTACAGCAAGTTTTAAATGAGAGAAAGAATCATAGCAACTTGGATAAACTAACTGATTATTAAGGAGTAAGACTCCTTCAAGTCCTTAGCAAAGTAAATATTTCTAGCTATACTGAGAGGGTCTAAATCTGGACTTCAAACTAAGATTGAGTAAGTTAAAATATAAATAAAATGAATTAGGTCTGTATTAAAGCTTTAAGCTATATATGCTTAGTCGAATACTGGCTTTATGTATCAATGCATCTAGGAGGTGGCTTTGGAATAAGGAGTCAACAGACATGATTAAGAAAGGTAAGATATTGAACTTTAATTTAATAGAATTTACAACTATCTTGTGCAAATAATGAATCAGCCTGAGAGCAAGGTAAAGTTAGGTGTGAAAGCCTCCAGAATATTTAACCAAATATTAAAGCCTAATTCAGATTAACCTAAAGCTGCTTAGAATATTGCTCAACAGTGAGTGAGACTAATGAAAGAGTTATCAAAATCACATAATTAATCTTGATTTCATAATAAATATTTATTATAATGCATTTAGATTATAGTCCTTGGGGTTTTGGGGTTTTGGGG